CTCTCTTCCTCTCTTCCTCTCTTCCTCTCTTCCTCTCTTTCTCTCTTTCTCTCTTTCTCTCTCTCTTTCTCTCTTTCTCTCTTTCTCTCTTTCTTTCTTTCTCTCTTTCTCTCTTTCTCTCTTTCTCTCTTTCTTGCAAAGTTATACAAAAGAAACAAATGGCAATTATGAAAGACCAAGTTACTCTACTATTGAGAGTAACTACTATTCAGAGTACAACATCTAATATTGATACAAAATTTATTTTACAAGGGAATGCTAGAAATACCATTTTTGGTCTTGCACCTACTGGGGATTTTATCATCTTTGACAGGATATACTTTACCATTCCAATCTCTTTCTCCTACTTTTAATTAACATACAGCTACATGGCTCTTCCATAGAAATAAGAGAAAATAAAAATATAATTAAAAAAAAAAAGACCACTGGTATCTGAAACAGGGTTGGTGCTTTTCAAAGAGATTCTCAATGTGAATCATCATTTTCACCTTCCATCAAGAGTCAGGACTTGAAATGCCCTGGCTTCTCTAGATTAAGAGAACACTAACAGCCCCCTTATAAATAATACCCRTAAGAGATATGTCAGAAAGTGTCTATTGAGAAACTCAAATTTATCCTGAGCTTCCAAACTAAGTATGAATACCCAAATCCCTGGTAATGTTACATCAGATGTGAGCTATCTTACTGYATGCTCTGATAAAATATAAATTGTAAAATCTCTATCTACCTCTCTATGGATATCTCTATAGATATATCTCTGTGATAGTCTATCTGATATATCTGATAATCTATGTGATATTTCTCTGGATAGTCTATCTCTGTCTCTTTTATTAGGGCTTGCTTGCAGATATTGATATGCCATCTACTTTAAAGTGGAAAGTGTATTGAAAATATACTTTCAAAATACAAGCAGAATATAGGGAATTTGCACATACCTTAGTAGAAAGCAAAAGCAGCTCAGGAAGACATCACTAAACTGGCATAACATAAAGATGTTTTAACTGAGATAAAAGATGTCAGGGAAAATGATGATACATTCACATTATGCATTTAATCATTTTAATTCTTTCAGAACTATTGTTGCCTATATTTGATTTACTGCTGAAGATTCTGCTCTGCTAATGAAGGGCCTTAAGGAGAGATAAACTCATTTYATATAATTAATAGTTGCCATTGTTTAGTAAAGGATGTGTAGTATTGATTTTTATATATGCTAAAAGAAAAAAAACACACATGAATTTACTGAAAGAATATATGCACAAAATAACATAGCAGTTTAGACTTTTCTCCCTATTAAGGTTTTCTGAGCTATAAAATGCTCGGAAATAATATGCATTTTAGGTGTACAGCAAAATAAATTAGTGGTTTGCTGTAAAGTATTTATAGTTTTCCTGCCTGCTAATAATAATTTGCAAAAAAAAAAAAAAAAAAAAAGAGAGAGAGAGAGAGAAAGGAAAAAAAACTGCAAGCTGCTAGTTAAAAATACTGGCAGAAGTCCTAAGCAACTTTAGCAAGAGCTCTGCTTTGATTAATAGCAAAAACACTCAGTCAGTGTATTTTTAAAAAGGATAGCACTGTCTTTCAGCCCATAAYAGTGGCAATATATCCTTTCAGTATGTGCAGGCATATCCTCTGCGAAGCACCCAGATAAATCAGCTCCCCCTTGGCTGTAACTGAATGCTGTCTAGTGGCTGGTGATGGACAGGGCTTTAACCTCTGACAGTGAGATTCATTGTTGGTACAAGCGACCAATCGTCGGTTTTGACGACACGAGCCTAATCAAAGTTGGAGTATAAAAAGCCCTCTTGGAAATATATAAGGTGCACCAGCGTGGCAAGCTGTCTCTGAGATTGCGTTTGCTCACAGGGATCTGTGTAGCACTGAACGGAAAAAAGGGGAAACAGGGAGAGGGTAAAAAAAAAAGAGAGAGAAGGAAAAGGAAAAGAGCTGCACTGAATGTGAGATCATGCAAAAGCTGGCAGTCTCTGCTTATATCTACCTGCTTATGCTGTTTTCTGTAGATCCGGTGGCTCTGGATGATAGCAGTCAGCCAGCAGAAAATGCTGAGAAAGACGGACTGTGCAATGCTTGTGTGTGGAGACAGAATACAAAATCCTCCAGAATAGAAGCCATAAAAATCCAAATCCTCAGCAAACTGCGCCTGGAACAAGCTCCTAACATTAGCAGGGATGTTATTAAGCAACTTCTACCCAAAGCGCCTCCGCTGCAGGAGCTCATTGATCAGTATGACGTCCAGCGGGATGACAGTAGCGATGGCTCTTTGGAAGACGATGACTATCATGCCACAACTGAAACTATTATCACAATGCCTACAGAGTGTAAGTAGCCCTGCCGCTTTCCCAGCACGCTGCTTCACGGAAAAGTTGCCTCCGTGCTGCACGGGCAAGCCAACTCCTTCTCAGTCTCTCCCAACAGGCTGCAGCGTGCCGGAGGGAGGGAGAAGAGCATGTTTTTAAAGAATCGGAGTCAGGTTCAGATGACCGCGGTGTGATCCACTAAAAGAGTGGATCTAAAACTAAAAGCTGTTTGCTTTTTTGTTCCTTATGCTGTGTATACCGGTAGCACGCAGAGCTGGTCCAGTGCCTTAGAGAGCAAAGTGCAACTTGCAGCTCTGTTAACTTGGATGTTTGCAGAATTCGAGGTGTTGTTTATCGCCAAGATAAATCACCCGTGGAGATAACAAGATAACCATTTATTTTTCTCTGAGTATGGTTTCACTTGTGAATGTTTTTCTAAGAGCAACAGGAGTGAGCAGAAATACAAGTTAGAGCTACTGAACTGCAAACATTAGTTTTGATTACTGMACTGCAAACACTGGCCACTGCAACTGCAAGTATAGAGTTAAATTCCTGCTTCGTTGCTGATCCCATAAACTAGCACCACCCACTCCCAAGTTCAAATTATATATTTAAAGCAAGTATGCGTGCAACAGATTTAAATATTAAACTGTCTGTGCTACAGCAATCCAGTAATTGTGTCAAGGAAGAATGAAGGCATTTACTGAATGAGCAGATTCTAAGTTATCTTCTGAGTGCTAAACATCTGCTCTGACTCCTATCAAGTATCTTTTGCACAGTTAGTACTATAGTATCTTATGTTCTTCATCAGCTAAGGTATTTAGCTATGGCAGCTGCTTTTTTTT